CGTGCGGGGCGCCCCCCCAGCCGCTCTGCCCCAAGCCTGTAGCATTGCATGGGGTTGTGACCCAGGTGCAGGATCCAGCACTTGGCCTTGTTAAACATCATACAATCGACCTTGGCCCATTGATCCAGCCTGTCCAGATCCCTCTGCAGATCCCTCGTCCCCTCAAGTAGATGGACACTTCTGCCCAATTTGGTGTCATCTGCAAACTTACTGAGGGTGCGCTGAATCCCCTCATCCAGATCATTGATAAAGATATTAAACACATATGAACACATATTAAACCCCTCTCCCTGGGGTTTCAACCAGAGCAGGTCTGCAAACATCTCTGATGTAGCTGGGCTATAGCATGAAACTGCTGTTCAGAGAAGGTCTTGTCCCTGTCAAGCATGAGATGCAGGCACTGTGTTCTGCCCCCATCACACCATACACGCTTCATGACAGACTAAAAACCAGATCCCAAAGTTCTTATGTGTGCTTGCAAAGGGTATTTCTTCTGTTCGTGGCACTGGCTTCACACATTGACATGTATTTTATAAAAAAAAACCCATAAAAGAAATGGCAAATCCATCCAGGAGAATACTTGCTTGGCTTACGGGCCAAGGTAGACTCTGAAGCACATATCTAAGCAGTCTTCCTTCATATGGCCAATCTCCTAAACTGGGACCATAAATTAGGTTATGTTAACATATTCGCTATATTTACATGTTACATTGAGACAGTTATAATCAATCTTAAGTCTAAGTAATCTATCTATATTAGCTTTAGAACATGCAAAAAATAGGGTAGACATCTGTTCCATCTAAGGTACAAAGAAGGGGTGTGTTTTCACTAAAAAACACTAGAGTTCAAAATTTGGCATCATCAGTAAAATGCTAACAGCTGTTTTCAAATTGTATAAACCAAGTGTCTAAATAGAAAAGGTTTGATATTGAAGGGGAACCCATCCACACAAAATAAAATTCTTTAAAATGGAATGTAGCCAGTTTCTAATACATTCAAAGATTACGGTGTCTCTATAAATAGAAAACTAGATAGTGCTGAAGAGCTAAAATAGTCCTTTCCAAATAGTTCAAGTGTATATATATTTCTTTCTCTTTACTATCATTAATAAACAGTTGCTTGAGCTACAGCTGTTCTAGCCTTTGGCAACAGTTCAAGTAACTTCCCAGCTTCTCTCCTTTGCCACCCTCCATCTTCCATTTTGGCACCACAGAGTTGCCAGGGCATATCTTGATTTCATAAAGTTTTAGGAAAAATGCCACATGTCCCGAACTCTGTTGGTGTGTGTGCAGCCAGTCAAGGAAGCATGTCATAAATTCACCATGGCCCTTCAATTGTCACTCGGGTAGTGGCACATCTCTAGTCCCAGTGCTACATCCTCGTGAAGCTATGTGCTGACAAGCTCCCTCTTGCTTGCACAGAGCCTGCTGAGAAGGATTTCAGAATAAACTTGATTTATTGGACCTCGGACATGATATGGGGACTGAGAATTTGTTGCATAGTCCTGCAGTTGTGATGGCTTGCTTTTACTGCCGAAATATTTCCCCAGTGTGTAGTGCCTTGATAACGTCATTGTTATGTGTGGACTTTCTTCAGAGGGATTGGATTTCACCACCTGCAGAAGAAGTGACATATGTGAGTGCTTTCTGCCTGCACCTAGAGAGATACACAGCTGCGTGTACAGAAATGCTGAGACAGTTCTCCGCAAACCACGTCCTGATACTCTTACCTTGAGCTGCAAGTGGCTCACAAACAGTATTTTAGTGGGCCAACTTGTAATGCTACATATTAATTAAAATGCAAGATCTTAAGTCTTGAAACCTAAAAGTGTAGGCCCATTATACTCGGTTGGTTGATTCTGTAATGCCTTTGTGTATTAGACTCCGTTTTCTTCATTAGGGGCAATTTACCTGAACAACAAAATTCATACTTAACAGCTTGTCTGTGTATTTACCATGAGAAAAAGTAAACTCAGGACAGTCCTGACTTGCAGGAAGGTTTAAATCCTTCTCTGAGCCTAAGCACTTGAGGAACATATGCTGTGTCTCAGCTGTGAGCCCTGCGAGAACGTCTCGCTCACAGGTCTTGACACAAACCTGGCCCAGCTCCGCGTTGAGATGAAAACACTCATGTGCCATGTTTCTCCAAGAAGGGAGTGAAAGTGCAGTTTAATATCCCTCTCCCTGGGGAATCACAGTGACATAACCACAATGTGGCTCAGTAACTCAGTGCAGAAGAATGCTCCTCCTTGGCCCCCCAATTATGTGTAAAGTTCTGGGATGATCCTGTGCAATTTGTATGGAATAAACGAATGCCTATGGGACTAAGGAGAGAAAAAGCGAAAGGTGTGGTTATCATGAGCCTAATGACTGGGGGGGTGGTCTCCTGAGAGATGCTGAAGGTCTCATCTCAGTGAACACACAGGCACCGATGAATAACAAAGCAACTTCAAGAGAGACAAAACTTCAGAACCTTGCACAGATGAAGGACAGAGGACCCCGACACAGACATTGGCAAATCCAGAGAAAGCAGAAAAGGTGTCAAGTGGTTAACTTATTTTTAAAAGAGTAAATATATGCTGACTTGATAGCTCTGATGCCCATCAGTTTTCCTGTTACATCAATCCCAGCAGACAGCTGAAAAAGCAGACTTCATTTATTAATGCATATATTTATGCGGAAGCACATTAGCTTGTTAAAAATATAATGTATATTTACTGTCACTGAACAATCAGAAACAATGTTCATATGTAGTGAAGCTGATAATAAATGAAACAACTCATAACAAATTAAATGTGAGTGAAGGAATAACATGTGCAAAGGCTTGAAAGACTGGGCAGAGAGCCTATGGGCTGAACTAAAAAATGACCAGGCTTAACTAAAAAATAACCAGGAATTATCCGTGTAGAAAATTAATATATCCTCTGATCAATTTGATACAGCTAAGCCAAGGGCTGTTATTTTTTTCATGCAGTTACTGCAAGTTCATTTTTCTAAATTAGTGCCTTAGATCTTACAACTATTTCAAAATGATGCCACCTTGAACCAGTCACCCAAACTGCATTCCTGTTAGGCATAATCTCCCAGGAATGCAATCTAATGTTCACCCAGCAGCCAACCACTGATTAAGATACCAAAATCCCAAGGTTGCTAGTTTTTATGTTGTGACCATGATTTCATTGCCATTAAATTAGGAAATAAATCTGAATAAAAAAATAGGTTCCATAAAGGTCTTTATAACTGCTGGCCAATCTATTTCTCCATAAGCACTTGTGAAGAATGAGGTAATTAAAAAATAAGGTTTGCATGTGTGCATAGAACTAGAAATGTGTTGGGGTAGAAAGAGCCAGAGTTAGGCAAGATTTTTTGTCCTAGATCAATATAAACCCTTTGTGCATCCAGATTCCTTGGCAATCTGAGCAAAGGCTGTAGGGTCTCCGGAGCTGTGGATTTCTGTGCCATCAGGGTGACCCGAGGCCCTCTGAAGTGGGTTGGTGGGAACTCGCATAATTTATCAGGACAGTCAGGGGAGATAGCTTTCTGTTTGGCTGGCCAGTGAGAACTAAATGGGAACTGCTGAACGCATTTCAGGTCCTGTTTTCTGACTGCATAGATCGGCCAGCCCTCCATTCCTGCATGGATGTGCTTTAGCTCAGACGGCATTTGCAGAGGGGTGCCGCCTTCTGGGAGTTTAGGAGGTCATTTTTGTAACAGAAAGAAAGTGAAAGTACAAAGCAGTAGATGTAATCCATCTCATCTGGTTTCATAAAACATGAAAAGCGCTGGAGTTTTGCACAGTGCTCTTGGCTCTGTCCTCAGAGGCAAAATGCCATTTTCCTAGTGCAAACTGCTTTAGCACCTGATGAAACTCCACTTGCCAGGGTGCAGAAATAAATTGATGACAAAACTGTTAAAACTAATGAGGTATCAAAACCATTCAAGACTTGCTTTTTGCTTTCCTCAAGGGATCAAGTCTGATTTTTGGGTGCTGATGGATTCTCCTGGGCACATCCATGCCTCTTTCAGGCACAATGGCCTCTCAAGCCTCATTAACAACAGCTCTGTGGGCCAAATTCTCCCTTGATCCTCCCCAGAAACATGTGCTCTCTGTTGAGATTCCTCCGGCAGAGAAGCAAGGACAAATCTGTGCATGAGCTCATTCAAAATGATGGAGGAGAGCATGAAAAATGCTGATGACTGATCACGCCCTGCTGTTTTCCACCCAGTTCCATACAAAGCATCTGAAATATTTCCCTTTGAAGTCCTCCATTTCATCAGAAGCTCTGTGGAAATGGCAAGCATCAGCAATGACCCACGAAGACACCAACATCTGGGTTCTAGACAAAAAAGGGCCAATATAGCTCTCTGGGTGAAATGGAGGGAGGCATTTACTCCAGGGGACTATTTATCCGTCACACAAATATCTGGTCTATGACTTACTCCCTCTTTTCCAGCTCCATTTGGACTGAGCTGTGTTCGTGCCTCTCTCAAGTACCGAGCGGAGCAGATTGAAGGATCGACTAACTAACCATGCCTGCTGTGTCAAGTCCCAGAGCAGGACAGAGGCCATGGCAATGGGCTGAAAACGTGTGAGTTGCTGAGGAGTCTGAGGTGGAAACCAGCTGTGAGGTTGACACACAGCACGTGAGGTCAGACGGGTCTGATAACACTCCCAAACCTGTGCTCAGTCCCAGTCAGCCTCATACTGGAAGAGAGCCCCAACCAGTGGCAGCTGATTGTCTCCCTGCTCTCTTTTGGCAACACATTTGTTGTCTGGTAGACTGTCTCTGATATTGTATCTCTGTCTGTGATATTTAAGGAGAAAAAGCAAAGCCTTATAGTTGTTACTTTTTAAAACTCTGCTTTATGCAAAGGTGACTGCTGTGGCTGAGAGAATTAGCTATAACCCACTGGCTACAAGAAAAGAGTTAGGTTTGCTGTGCTAGTCCTTGGCCAGCAGACACCGCAAGGACACTCTGGAGCCTATGCTTCAATTTTACTATCATCACCACTGAATTTCAGTTTGTTGTTTAAACTGCTCCTCAGTTTAATTAGCCACAGTGTATTTTGTTTTCCAGTGTATACTGTGGGTGCCTGATGAAGGAAACCTTATTTTTAGATCCTTGCTTTTTTTGGATCTTTAAGGAAAATATATGACAGCTGTCCTGACATTTCTTCACAGCAAAAATCAGTGCTTCCACTTCATTCCTGGTGTCACAGCCCACCTTTGTACTTACAAAGTTCTACAGAGCTTCTGTGCTAACCCTGCACACGTCCAGGTCCTGGGAACAGGCTTGGTCAAAAGTGAGGCTTCGAGAAAAATAGACATAACTTGGCAAAATAAGCAAAGGGCTTTTATTCTTCTCTTGAGAGATTCAGAAAACATTTGGTTGTCTTTCTTATTTGAAGCAATTTGTTTTGACAGAAAACAAATTCCTAAATTCATGCTGGAAAAATGCTAGCACTTCACTTTTTTTAAAAAAATATTTATGCACTTTTGATAACTCTAATAAAAAAAGTTCTAGGATTTTCTCCGTAAGAACTAACTTGTGGAGTCCTGTCTTCTGAATGACACATCAAACTGCTGGTGTCATTATTCTGGTCAGTAACCAAACTCCTGAGATTTCTTCCAACTAGTAGCTTCTTACTGGCTCAAAGGTGCCAGCTGACTGTGAAACACCGTAAATTCATCAACTCTTGGTTTCAAAAAGGCATCTTTCATTGCATCCTTTTTTCCCTCCAGCTTTAACTTTTTGGTAACAATTTCTTCCCATTCTATATTTCATTCTCTGAAAGAACTTGCACCTGTCATCTCTCTTTTGATCACGCAGAGGAAATGCAATCTTCCTGAAAGATATGGCAGTTCAAGTTTTATGGTCCTAAACAGATTTTAATGGAATAAATTGTGGTAGTTTCCTAGTCTTTTGTTAAACAGACAACCCAGATTAAATTCATAAGAATAAAGATCCTTGTAGCATCAAATGTAATGTCTTACTGTGCTAAACATGACTTTTTCTATAGAGGTACCAGAAGGCTTCTCTGTCCTAAGATCGAGCAACAGATTAAGGCACAGGCTTACTGATGATCTCTGAGTGCATGATTCCAGTTTTCACTGAAGAAATATTTTTTATTGGGAATCAGGAGCTAAGCATCTGGAAAGATATGAGTCTCCTTTATTCCCCAAAGCTTTTTCTGGTTTCCAGAGGGAGTAATGTAATATTCATGGGCCTTCACTAGGGCAATGGGTGATGTGTTTGGATTCTCAGCAGACTGACCACTCATAACAGGAACCTGGGAACTGGCCATTTTATCAACAAGTTGGTGTCATGAGTACGAGAAAGGACTTGTTTGGAAGCTACAGGAATAGCCTGGTGGCCTTGGTGACACTTCTTTAACTATCCTATGCAAGATTACTGTCATCAGCCTTATGGCAGAGGGTACCTGCTCACTTGACTTCTCAAAAATTATACTCTCTGTTTTCATTCAGGGTCACCTCCACGAAAGCAGGGATGCTCTTCTTCATTTGCATAAGGTACAAGAAATCCCAAACTAAAACAGATCCTTCCTTTGCTGATGGGGAAGAGGACTCACTAAAAAAGACATACCACATACTCAAAATACATTTAAAGGAAACCAGAAAAACTTTAAATATCTTGTTTTTCAAACTCTTTACTTCCACTGGTTTGGCAGCCTCTGGGCTGATTTTATGCCTAGATATAATAATGTGTTTGCTTATTTGTTTTTTATTTAATCCATGGACTCCTGTCATTTGTAATGTATTGTGAAGATTCTTTGCCAGAACTTCAAATGAACAGAAGAATATGTTCTCAGTTGACCTACTCATATATTTTACCATGTCCTTGTTTCACCAGTCCAGTAGTTATAAAACAGAAGACAGGATTTCCATAGATTTCAGACAAAAAAGAAAGCAGAACTATGGGCATGAGATTTTCATTTGTATAGTCACTACAGTCACTGTAACTATGCCAGATAACTCTTTTTGGGAGATGAAAACAGATACAGAGCAGTAAGGTTGGTCTTTCCATTTTAAGCTCCATTTTAAATGTAACTGTGGTTTGATGGGAGTCTGCTGACATGCTTAGTTAGGAAGGCTTAAGAAAAAAAGCCCGAGGCTGAGGTATGGCAAAAAGATGAAGGAAGTCCATTCAGAACCAGTTGGGATATGTAATGTATAGCAAATAATATAAGAGCATGGAAACTGTGCAAGATAATTCTATATAGGTTACCTTTGCAGAAAAGCACACTTATTTTTATTTCAAGGAATCATCACTACAGCAGTTCAGCCCCTCCTCAGGCAGTGTTGCGCTCTGAGCAGCAAGGGGCCAGTGGCAGCCATACAAACTGCTGCCTCCACCTTTTTTATTCAGGCCTAACTTTTAGTCACGGATGCAAACCTTGTTGCACACCTTTTTGTTTCTGAGCACCTGACAGTTAACAACTCTCTTAAATACCTGGGAATGATATAAGCATAAACTATTACCTCATGGAAATTGCAGCCACACTTCCCTTGCAGGAATTCTTTGTAACGTCCCATGGTGATGACAAAGGTGTCAACAACTTCATAGCCGAAATTTTTTGCTGTATCCAGAATAACCAAGTTTTCATTCCACAAGTTTTGCACTTCTGCCTGCATTCCAGATAAAATATTGCAATGTCTTGTCAGAAGGACCGTTTAAAGGTTATTTTATTCTGCTGATGCAATGAATAGCAAAACTGCATTTTGAATAAAGCAATTATGTTATACTCCAGACATGAATCACTATAAATTCACTCTTGAAAGTAGCTATTACTTCAAGACTTGTAGAGTTTTGCAGAAATTTCTTAGAACAGGTTTTGAAGCACAAAAATACAAGAAAATCTGATATTTTTTCTCTTAATTACTCAATAAATCAGGTTGATTTCAATAAGATCTAAATTAAAATCAAGTTAGCAGTAACTATAATTACTTTTCAATAGTCATGTAGCTTCCTTCATAGAAAGAATTCGATGTTGTTTAAAATATAATTACTGGGTAACTGGTTTTAATATTTACTTAGCTAATGTGAAGTGTAATTCAGAAAAAAAATCCTATTCTAAAGTTGTCTGTAACAAATGGTGAAATTGTTCCTGTAAAAGAAAAATTCAACTTCAAATCAAAGTTGTTGAGACTGTTTCTTAAAGAGGAGTATAGGATCGTGGGTATCTCAGAAATGGTTACGCTGAAGGCCAGATTATTATTTCTCAAGATTCTGCAGGAAGGCCAGGAATAGAAAAAAGGTTAGCCATGTATTTGTCAAGGTGGAGGATTTGACATTGAAGACAGAAGGGCTTTGAGAGTAGCTGGGGTAATCCAGAAGTCCAGAGCACCCAAACCACATGGGTAATTTGGCATACGATTCCAATATTGAAAAGAAAAAGAATGTTGGTTATGAACTGTAGTTGATTTCTGGAGTTTTGTAAACTACTGGATGAGAAGCAGAAAAAGGCAGTCCCAGGAAGCCTTTCATACTCTTTCTGTCCTTGCCTCACCTACCTTCAGTCAAAGTTCTGCTTCCTCCTCCTAGGACTGAGCTCCCCTGAAAGCTATGGCAGGAGCTACGATAACATTTCTCCATGTTGAGTCCAACCGTTTCCCTACTGTGCCCTAACTTGGTCATCCGGGTAAATTAAGGAAATGGTTGGAATCAATAAGAAGACATTCAGGAAAGACAAGATAGATAGATAGTACTAACTTAGAAAGAAAGAATGGGCAAAATCTGATGGGGCAGTCTCCACGGCAAAAAGAAAGGTGAGAGTAACAGTAAGTCACACATTGAATACAGCTGTGTATTATGGTTGCAAAAAGACGTGTGTGCCAGTCCCCAGGGTGATAGGAGTGCTGTACATAAACTACGAAAGCTAATAATTTTCTCTTTTCAACACCTGTGAATAGCTGGTGTGCTACCCGCGGTGCTGGTAGGCATCACATACTCCATTCTGCCCTCCGGCGCTTCCCAGCCCTGGCTCATCCACGCATTCTATATGTGTTCAATAGAGAACCACTGTCCGAATTGTAAATAAAAAATATTGAAATGAATGAGTTACACAGCCCATTGAAGTGAGCCCATCTGTTACTCTGAGAGTCTTGGAGATGATTTACACTGACTGTTAACATCCGATTAACATACAAATAACAGGCTAGATTCACCGGTACATTCCAGCTGCTCTGTAATGTGCTGGCTTCATAGCTTGGTTAAGACAGATTTATGGAGAGCTGTGCAAGGCAGCCAGACCGGTGAATCTGATCCAGCAGTGATCATGGAGGAAGCCTGGGGAGGGCCATTGCTCGATGTGGTACGAGGAGCGATCTGCCTATCCCCAGCTCCATTTCTCAACTTTGGCAGCAGGCTTATACCAGAGCTTCCTCTGGCTCCCGGGACATCTGACCGAGCACAGCATCTCAAACGGCGCTCTGATTGTGGTGGAATCCATGCAATAAAGCAAATTGGTCTGAATCTGCAAGCCGTATCAGCAAAACCGAACATTATTCTTTCGTTGATCCACTTCAAGCTTGCTCAGCAGAGGTTGTAACATATTTTGACTGGACAGCAAAATTATCACTGAAATGACAAGTCTTCTGTGAAAACACACTCTAACTCTACTGTAGCTTACCTGTGATAGAGAATGTATTCCATCCACTGGGAGGTGAAAGCCCATCCCTATGGATTTGATAATTACCAGGATATTTGATAGATTTTCCCTGTTTGGCAAATAAAAAAAAAAGATACACATTTTACTTAACAGACACATCAAAAGACACTTCACGTTTATTTTTTCAAAGTGTACACCCATGAGAAAACAAATGAAATGTTTGTGTTTAAAATTTTTGGTTGTTTCTCATATTTTATCATACCAAAACTTGGAATAACACCAAGCACATAACATTACCTGTTCAACACCTTTTGGATAATTTGCAGGTGATTGGAATTAAGCCACTGAACGCCACCTACAATTAATACGGTCTGGTCTGTATTCTCCAGGGGCCGCGATCTGAAACCCAGAAAGGAAAAAACAACACATGTTGCCTTAAAGCAGATGGCAAACATTTTAACTGCACTGCATTGCATTTCAGTGAACTGTATCTGGCACCCTGATCAGAGGCCTGATGTCATTTTCTCCTATTTTTCAACCACACAATACGGTCTGCACACGTTATGTTCAATTGTTTACTGACTTTAATTGTAAAATGTGTAAAACACATTTGTGACTTGAAGGAGAACACAAACAAGCCAGCAGTGGAGTTGGTACGGTACCTCTGCAGCAGCTGTTCTAGCGCTTTTTCAAAAGTTGGTCTCTGGCTTGCGTTCATCCAAAACTGGGGGTAGTAGGAGTAACTGATGAAGGTTTTCCCCTCATTGATATTATTATAACATTTGACATCATGAGTCTTTTGCCATTCCTGAAGAGTCTTATTCACTCTTTCTATGAGATAGTACATCATCCCTCTGTTAGTTGAGTCACCTATAAAAAGAATCTTTGGATAGAAACAAAGATATGACTGACTTAGAAGGTGTACACCCCAAAACCTAAGAATACAGCTAGCCTGGAGGTTTTCAAACCCTTCTCATTATGTTCAAGAAATACATCTGTGAGCTGCCAGTTCTCCAGGCCTGACATCTCAATAATAAAGTTCTCCTTGAGCAAAACCTCTGTGATCTGATTAAGAAAAAGCTATATTATGTGTTTTGAAGACAAAAAGTGTAGGTTATAGATGGCTATAACTGCAAAGTTTGTCCTGTATTTTTCATCCTTGTTGATCATTTCTTTTGTTTAAGTTTACATTTACTTCCAATTGCTAGTACAGAGCCTCTCATGATTGCTTGCAGCTTCCTGCTTTCGTTCCTCCAGTTTTTCATGTGGTTTGTTCCTACACAGCACGTCTGTCTTGGTTAATATCTGTCTTCCGTAAATGGCGTCCATTAGAACTGACACCAAAGTAACACACACACACATCAATGGATGCGGCTGCTGCCTCATTTGTAGAGAAATGGTCTTGCTGCAATTTCAGAGGGGGAAAAAAAGGGGTTATTTTGGTGGCAGATAATGTGAACAGAGTCCTGGCATGTGTGATGTGGAAAGGAAGCAGCATGGCTCGAAGGGAGTTGAAAGTGCTGTCAGGATGACAGAAGTACTTCAAGTGTCACCAGTCTTCGTTGGGCTACTCTGAACTTGCAAATGAATGAAGTCCAACTTGGGCTTTCTCCTACCCATTCTGTAGACTCCCCTACAAATCAAACACCTCTGTATGTGGAGACCATGGAACTTAATGTGTGAGGTTTTTTTTTTTAATGTAATTAGCCTATTTTTAGTGGATAAGACTAGTAGAGAAAATGTAAGCAATGATGAGTGTGCAAAGGGGAAGAGAACCCAGGTTCACTGTGGTTTGCCAATGAAGCTGAATGCATAACCAGTTATTACCACAGCCACTTCAGACAGGAATCCACATAGAGGAGCATAAATGTAAAACTGGGAGTCAGAAACCCCACAGAGCCCTAACACAGAGACAGCCCTGTTCTCTGCCCAGCAGTATGCTGCTTCTCCTGGCTTCTCTGGCTCTCAGGGTAGTTGGCACCCTGTAAGTTGGGGTTTTGTTGTTTGGTTTTTTTTAATTTGATTTGGGGTTTGATGCTTTCCCAATTCCACCTTGAATATTTGGTTATGCAAACAAAATTCAGACTGCATAAGATTACATGTTTAAGAATACATTTCCAAAGTTGCTGCTTAGAGATTTTCTGCGGTGAAAGTATCTTGGACTTCTCTCATCTAATACATATCTATTTACACATTCCCTTCAGGAATGACAGTTTTAGGGACTAATTCCAGTTCCCACTATGAACCTATTGTGAGCAAAAATAAGCCACAACAGTGTATGAATGACAGTTCCTGTAGAATGGAAGGAGTCTCAGATGAACATTCCCTGATCTGGCGCAAGGGCCAAGAATGGGCATGACAGTGACTTGAACATCCCACACCTTACCCCCTGTGGGCTGCAGAGAAGCCCTTGATAGATTAGGTATGGTAGTGAACAAATTAAAACAAGCATTGAGCATATAGAGGCTCTTCCACCTCCTGTCCTGGACCTCTCAAAGCTGCTTCATGGAGTAAGTTCTTAAACAGCTGCTGTTCATGCTTGGACTGCACAAGCACTTCCCTCCCATGCAAGGGGATTTCCAACTCTTTTCACACTGTGTTGGAAGAAACCTCTTTAAACTAAGCATAACATGGCTCTCAGAAGTCAAGGATCCTTGGAAGGACTGGTTGGATAGTCTCTCTTTCCCTTTCTGATGGACACAAACATGCACACAATTATTTACAATTAGGAAGACAGTCCACGCTGACAGTATGTCCTAATTCTAAAGTAGGTTAACTTGAGGCTTTAACAATTCTTTTAACTTGCAAAACCTCTTAATCTCTCCGGTCTGTCTATACCCATGTCTCTTTAATCTCCATTTCATAAGTCCACCACTGTAGTATCTAGATGTATATCTATTTAAAAAACAGTTCTCAGGTATTAGCCGGCAAGGATGTCATTATCTTGCAATGTGGGTGAGAACATTTCTGTAAAAACACAGAACATGGTTAGCAGAATAACAAACAGGCTCTACCAGGTTACACGCACAGAGCAGTTGGTAGAACATGCTAGATTGTTTCTCTTCTGCTTAATAACATATGATACCATTTTGTTATCACTGCACATGGGGATTTCTAATTGCAAAGGAGCATATTCAGCTCTTAATTACACTGATTTGGCAGATGTGGCATTTTTATCTCACTCTTCATTCTACTGTGACTAAGATTCTGACAGATATTTTCTCCTTCTAACTGTATTTGGTCTACTCACACCTACCAGTGAATTCAAATAGCAGAACACCACCCTTCATGGAAAAAAAGGAGAGAAGAACCATGGCCAAGGCCAATGAACATGATGCACAGATACCTAGTTTTGCCAACGCTGTGTATTCTCTAGCAATTTAAGTGTGAAGTGTCATTCTAAATATTTCCAACGTCTCAAACATTGCAGAGCATCAAAGACTGAGATCGACTCATCAGCGTCTTTCCCAATTTTTTGTTATGTCAAAACCAGAGCAACCCTCCCCCCACCCCTCAATTTGCACTATTAAATACTTTAGCATTGTAGGGCTTTACAACTCCTACATGCACACACACACATAAACAGTGGATCCATGAGTGAGTTTTCAAGTCTACCCTGAGGTACCTAGCTGGCCAAGTCTGCAGGTGGGATAGAATACTCCTTTAGAAAACCAGTACCAGGAGAGAAAAGATAGGTAAGATCACTTCTTAAAGTGACAGTTCTAGCCCTTAAGTGCCATTATGCTGGGCGCCATACGACAATATCAGATGGGCCTTGGAATAGTATTATCATTGTCCTGATTTTCTGAGAACATGAAGGGGGTGACAGCAGTCAGAGCAGATTCCTTTAGAGCAGTCATTATAACTGGACAAAATAAAAAACTGTTAGGGCCCAGGCATACTTCTTCAAATATTATCACAAGACTGACGAGGCTGCACACAGCCCATCTCTGAAGGAGTAAGTTCAGAGTCTCAGGACATCTCCATTTTCACTCTTAAATGAGCTTGTTATGAGGAGGTAAAGCAGAAGGTCAGGAAATTAGATCAGACAGCTAATGCGACTAAGTGTCTGGGTGTCCATCTGGGAATGTGTACTTACTCCTAGGAGAAGGTGTGGCTGAGCAGGTTGAGTCAGGAATGAGACAGATGGCAACATCACATTGGTGAGGAATACAGGCTGTTTCCCTAGGGAAATTAACCTGAACACTCAGAAACAAGTCTGCTAAGAGAATAGTTAAAACTTGATGTAAGTGGGGGAGAGAGAAATGAGCCAAAGTGGACTTGTGCTTGTACTGAAAACCAGATCAGAAGTGTAGGTTATCTGCAAAGACGTCAGTCAATTATAACAACCCTATTAGCTTTCAGTCAAAAGGTCTTCAACTGTTCACATAGCTATTAGCCATATCGCGACTGTATCACTGGAATCATGCAAATCTGTTTAACTCCAGCTACTTCTTTCACAGTGAAATCATGTCATCATTGGAAGATATGTTGTTAAAACTAGGACTGCAACACGTGAAACCTACGGTGCCTGCCCTCTAGCCCTGATGGAGAGCTCTGAAGTCCATTTGCAGTCCTCAGCAGTCACAGTATGGAGGCTGTGTGTGCTGGGATCTTGAAGGGAATGCTCCCCCAGTGAGTAGAGAGATCTCAGAGAGAAAGATGGGTGCGCATTCCTTGTAACCCAATGCACCCCAGGCTGGTGGATGCATAGCACAGCACATCTGCACACACAGAGCACCCATTCATTAAGACCTTGTCTACATCCAACAATCTGCCTCTAACCATTGGTCCAACCATGCTGTGAGACATGTGTAACTAACTCCTGGAAAAATAAATAAATTCTTTTTTTTTTTCCCTAAAAAAAAATCCAGGTGGAAGAAGAGGACATTTGTAGGTAATCCCACCTGCTTTTCAAATTGCCCTTGCGCAGAGCTGGCCAAACACATTTTCTTGTGGTATGCAGACCATCAGAGAGCATCTTTCAAAGCATCCACCTTTTGCAAGTCAGCTTCATGTTCAGAAAATGCTTGGAAGACTCAAAGGCTAAAATGCGTGGTGTTTAGCCTCAGGAAGAAAACTTACACTCTTCAACTAACCCAAGAGCTTCGATGAATTAGAATAATCATTCAGTAGAATTGAATGTGTGGTAGCTATGGCCACATTTATTTCTATACAGTTGCATGAACTTACTATAGCCGTGTGTGCCAGGCAGTACTTAATCTGATTTGAACCAGGGGCTCTGAGGATGATTCTGTATTTGGCTCTATGAGAATAATGAGCAAAATGATGGCTCAGGTGTGTAAAATATGAAAAATTCTTTACAGTCTGGCACAAGGCTTAGTCATGTACTGTTCAGGTCAATGGGGGATTTGTCTGTAGGATGACTAAAGGATCAGGCATACATAAGTCTATAATTTTACCAGACAAAGAACAACACTTTCATGCAGACAGATGTTCTCAGTGTCTTCTGTTGCAAATGTTTGGTGTGAAAAATTCCATTATAGCTTACAGGCTTTAAAAGATTGTGTAAGCATAGTGGAATTCTCTACTTAACCAGACCTATCATTATAAATTAACCACACTTAGGAAATTTAAACACCTGTAAGTCCAAAACACTACTTAACTTTAAAATATTATTAAGAAATTATAAGTTAAAATTCCTGTTTTAACAGCTGAATTTTAAGTACTTCAGCAAATATTGCCTTTTCATATTTCCTGTTCTTAATTACACATGACTCAATGGTACTTTATTATAAGGCTAAACTCTGAGTAGTGTTTCTTAATGATAAACAAAATACATATCCCCCCTGCTATTGAGGCGAGCTTTCTATATGCTGCTAATTGGATAAATAATTACCTGTTAGAACCCCTTCTCCTTCGCCCATTTTTTAAGGTTCTTGTACAAAAAATCAAAGCATCATGTCTTAATAAAATTGTATAAATCTTACAACAAAAACTCATGAACCACAGTTACAGAGGTTTTTGTTAAGCCAATATAATACAGGTATAATATTTTTATTATGACTGCCTATTTCTTTGATTGAGTTAGGACATATATGTAGAGTTCCCTAAGAAAAATACAGCCTGCACCTTGTTACCCTTAGTTAGAGTTGAAAATGGAGGAGAAAAAGGACTACAGGTATTAAAAGTGGACTGAATGAACATCTACTCAGCCAGAATCACCTTAGCCTCAACACTTCCAAATTTTCCTGTTTACCGTGTCTGAAATGCAAACATATGGCTGACTAGTCTTGCTAACACATCATAAAGCAAAATCAGGCCTCATAAACTGTTTTTGTGGATGTGTATCCTTTCTCATGTCTCCACCAATCTGAGCGTTATTGTTTCACGACAGGTGGTCTTACGTTTTTATGAAACAGAAACAACTTAGCTCAAAGACAGTTTTATATGCACACAAATTAAAATAGCAGTTAATGATGATGTGAAATCAATTGGAAGTCATAGCCAGGGAAAATGAATTTCTATTGTAGAGAAAGGAGATGATAATTTTAGAGATGAGCTCTGAAAAACAAATCAATTTTAATACAAGACATGAAAGCAGCCTGGAGTTAGAAAACAAATTAGAAAGCATTTTTGAAGGCTTATTTATGATGTAGATAGGAAAGAAGTGCTCTGTTTGGATGACCATAAACATATTTCAGAAACGCTGACAAGTGCATACAAGAGATTAATGACCAAGAGACATATCTGAATGCTGCATTTTACTGTTGTTCTATGAAACATGAGTAAAACACAATGATTGCGCTTAAAGATACAGTTGGTCTTACATGTGCTACATTTCAGCCCAAAAGAGCATTCATTTTACGTCTTATTTCATCAGTTGCTGAAGTGCACCCAGATCAGGGACACAACACAGTAGTGGTTAATTCATTGCACTCTTCCCTTCAAATTCATTAAAAGTAGAAAGACAAGTAGGCCTTTTTCTTTTCTTCTTCTTTTTTTCCCCATATAAAACTAATAGGGGAGCACAAGAAAAAAGCCTGCAGTTATCATAGTTGGAATTTGACAATGGCATAGAAATTAACACCTCCTATTTGAAAGAAAAGACATAATCACAGACACTTATGTTGTTTATAATGCCTTATCGTGATGTTTTTAATTGCAAGAAGTAAAGCCAGTGGATCAGAATCCTGAAACCAAATTATATTTTTTCCAGGACAAAAATCAGAGACCAGCCTAGTGAATCACAAATGTCAGTATTTGCTTTACCTGTGATACCTGGTGAAATTTTGCACGATTCTGAATGTTTTATGAAGGTATTCAGAAGTGAAATTCAGTCATAAAGGGCTGTTAGTGTTTTGATGTAAGGTATGATGTCATTTGACCCAAAGACACTACGGATGTACATATGTCTGCTTTCCTGAGGAAGGATTAGTAATTATGTGGGGTGTATGGAGGTTTTGTTGCCTTAGTTCAGAATAAACTCTGAGCAAGAATTCAGATGTAGCTCATGATACGTGACTCCTTTGTAAAGGATTTTGAACTCCAGAGACCCAAGTTACACAAGCTGAATATTCAAAGTGTGGTGGCATACTAAAAACCCCCAGAATACAGAGGCACACAAGGTTAGTTGAGCCCATTTTGAGCAACAGACACATGACTGAGTTCTGTTGTTCTTAGCTAACTTCAGCAAATGACAGTATAAATCAAACAGCATTCTAGGTCATCTCAGTGTCCCCACTTGGGTTGATGATTTTTGCCCTTCTGTTTTGCACTCATGCTTTTTTTTGCAATCTGCTTATATTTTCAGCGTTGAAACCTCCTGCTTATTTTATTATGGAAACTATGATGTCATTAGTCTGAGAAGTCAGTGATCTCTGTAGTGCTTAAAGACAAGGTATATAATGGTTTGAAACTAATATCACAAATCAGGAAATATAAATATTTATAGGTGGTTACCAAAATCTCTTGTGTAATAAAAATGTATTTGTTCACAAGAATTATATCTTGCTGGCTACTCAATAGCTCCCTTATAAAAGATCCAGGTTGCTTAAACATATGTAATAGCATACAATACAATTGACAGGCAAACATCTCTTTCATTGAGCACCTGAAAAAAAAATACTTTTTCTACTACATTGCTTAGACTGTGTAAAGTAATTCTCAAGTTTGCCTTGATCACAGGAAGAATCAAGACCTTGTCACCCAAGCAGAGAACCATTTTTACTCATCTGACTTGGGCATGAAGAAAATCTCTCTTAGTTCTTAAGTTCTACTGACATGAGGGAGTTAGTCCATGCTCTACATTTATTTATTTGGTAAAATAAGCAAAAATGCTATTGAAAAATGCCACATAAAGTTAAAACCACTGCAAAATGATGACAAAAATAACGTCAGAGGGAAAGATATAGGAGAAATATACCAAAAGGGGACCACACGCTAGAGTGATGACTTTAAAAGACTAAGCCAGTTAAATGGACATCTGTGCAGAGGTGACAGGAGTGATTCAGCAGATTTCTACAGAGCAGTGAAGGTTATCAGGCAATGACAGAAGACTTTTGCAAAAGGCGTAGAATAGGAAACAAGTGCAATTAGTTTTACCAAAATTTTTCTTGCATGGTGTTAGCGTAGATCACATAGGAGCTGGCTCTCATCCGACACTAGAATAGATCAAGTGACCTCATAGAGTCAGAACATAGTGGAATTGGCATTAAGAAGTCAAGGTCACAAACATTCATTTCATATACTTGGTTTTAATGGACCCTTAACAAATGTTGTCCCATTTATGACACTGGTGAATGTGAGTGGCCAGGTTCAGGAGGTGGGGATGTCGGCATAGCCCTCCCAGCAACACCCTGGCGATCCACTTCCATAGTGGCATACTGTTCCTCTGCTGTCCTTCAACTGTCTGACCAAAGGGTATTTGCTTATTGAAGCAATCTGATGTCTATGGAAATTAAAGACCAAAGCAAAGCTATCAAATTCTTCTATATTTTTTGCTGTGGTCAATCCAGAAATGCTTGTTTTGTACATGAGGAGCAAATCAAGTTTCTCCTCTGTCATGTAAACCTATGTTTTTTTAGAAAAATATGTTAGGAGAAACCCACAGCTCTATAATAACAGAGAAAATCACAGGCAGAAATAAAGCCACATGGCAATCAAGAACTTTGTGCAGGACAAGAAATGACCAGAAAAGAAAGAGGAAATGTTAATTGAAAGACTATTATTTTCATATTCTTTCTATATAGAAAGGCTCTTGGATTTTATCAAAATGCCACTTTTAGTTACTATTTTCTTACCTAGACAATGCACTATAAAAATCTTTATAACAATTAATTACTTACTTTCTGGATACTTGTATCCTCAGTAAGGTACCTGAGCCTCAGACCAGAGCTCTCTCTCAACAGTTTTACAGTCATAGCATGCTTATTAAGGAGACCTTGCATTTCCAAGCAATCACCTTAGAAGCTTCACTACAAGAAAAGAATGTGCAAGAAGACTTGGTAAGATTAGTGTGCACAAGCAATGCCATGCATTAGGCATGCAGCAGAAGAAACACAACTTGCATGTCAAGTGAGAGAAAAACTGTGACAACAATGCAAATCCATCCTCCATTTACTGTCCTTATATACTCACTGCAGGTCTAACCGGAAGCCACGTACACCATAGGTCTTGAAGCTCCACTGGTGTGACCTAAGCTCCTATGCGAAATGGCAGCAGACAACTGTGTCTGCATATGAGGCTAAATTATGGATAATGGTTGGGTTTTGCCTCTGTGGATGTTCCACGTGAATCTTTTTCCAGTTATAATAAAAAGGGATTTTTCTCACACATCAATCATAAATTTTTTTTTTAAAGCTTCAGGATGCTAAATATCCAGGTAAATAAAACCAAATTAAAATATAAAATCTGTAACATACCCTTCTGCCCTCCACGCAGCGCTGGAGCTGGGGCTTGGCTAGCACAGCGTATCCGCCCGCCCGGGGCGGTGCCGTGGGGCTGCCACGTTATTTCTCTCCAGTCACAGGTCCTGTTGTCAGAGCAGCTGAGGCAAGGGACAATCCACTGCCCTGGAAAATGGTAATGGGATGTCAGCATCTCCTCTGTATTTTTGTGAGCAGTCTTATTATAGAGCGAGCAAGATATTTTTGAGTATTTTCTCATGGAAACTCTCCTAAATGAAATGCTCCCCAACCCTTTGAAGAGACTATTTCCTTCCCCCTTTTCATTTAGCAAGGATGGGAATTTTCCTTTTCCATGAAAGAGCTGCAAATGCTCCAGTTTGACAGTCGTGTGTGGGTTCATTTCTCAGTTCATGTTGCCTTTCTTGTAGCAGCTTGTCTGTTCTCCATAGAAGGTTTATGAGAAAGGGAAAGGGGATGAGGAGGCTGAATAGGAAGAGAAAATATTCACGCTGAGCAGTGTCTAAAGGCAAGATACATTCTCATCTACCACTAAACATCTAAAATTTGGGTGAGATTTTGAGAGCCCCTTGATAGAAAAATGAGTCTAAGATTATACAGATAATGTACAGATAACGAGAGAGGATGACTTACCCTTGGACATACTAATTTCTTAAATTTGTGAGAGTTCACAGAACCATCCCAGACTACACATACACATTTCAGTAGGTGAAAGTAAGGTGAGATGAATAACCTATGTGATTTATTAGCGCCTGATCCCTATCTTCAAAAATGATTTTACAGATTAGGAGCGTAAAGTGGGATTACGACAGTTCAGTGAGTTTTAGGCATCTCTTACCTAAGGTTGGACGGTTTTGTTATTTTGGTTCTCTAGAGCTATTGATTTCCAAAATCCTACTGGAAGTCAGGGGTATTTCATTTCTGAGGGAAGACAGAAAACTTTCGAGTTGCCTTTATGTTCAGATCAACACAAGAAACACTTTCCTCACCCGTACAAGTGCACTGTCCTGGCAACATCTCCCAGTGACTATGTAGCTCTGCCAGCAAAACCTGCTTTTGCCTCTAATTAAAGTCATTACACAAGGAAAAGCACAGAGGCCCCCAGGTCCTTGTGTCAACGCCATCAGGCCTTGCTAGACCAACCAGGTTTCTCATTGCAGCCCAGCGAACAGCTCCAGAAGCAAATGCTTGCAGAGTAGACCTGGATTTAGAGATTGTGACCCTCGGTGCTACCAGACAGCAGCTCAGCAGGCAGCCGGGCGTGCTTCGCTGTGCCTGATGGATTGCTGCGACACAAGAAGCCACAACAAAAATCCCCAAGGCTGCTGCCTATCAACATTTATCAGGCCGGGGACTGAGTGGGAGGCTGAGTGAAGCAGCCCTGCTGAATCCCAGCGGCCCTGGGAAAGACAGCTGCTACCTGAGGAGCAAGGGAATTCCCAGGGAGGCAGCCAAAGTCCTGAGCGAGTATGTTTTGGTAAGTAGCAGGGTGAGTTGTCTTAGCAGATAAAAGAGTCCTTCTAAATAAAACCATCCAGAATTGTCTGTATGGCAGCCCGCACTGGTACACCTAAGGGTGGGACATACGCCGCAGTGCTACGGCCGTGCAGCTCCAGCTGCTGTGCAGCCTGCGCAGCTGCTGTTGCTTCTGCCCTGTGCAGAGCACACTCGCCCCACCCTCAGCTGCACTTGCAGATGGTGTGGAGCAAATGAAGGCAGACTGGAACTAAAAACAAGCCTGGACACTGACTTTACCATGCTGTGGATCAGTGAGCGTAGCTCAGCTCTCCAGGTTCCCATGGGTGCCTCCTGAAGGCTGCCACTGGGCAAGCAGCCCAATTCAGCATGGCATAAGGAGAGGAAGGAGGGATGCTCAGGTCCATGGTGATGGGCTACAAGTGGGGAGATGGAGCTGCCCAGTGCTCCTTGCCCAGAGGAGTTCCAAACTTGCATTACCCGTGTCCTAATCAGCCAGCTGTTTGTCCATAAGGATAACATTCATAGAATCATAGAATCATTTGGTTGGAAAAGACCTTTAAGATCATCAAGTCCAACCGTATCTGTCCACTACTAAACCATGTCCCTAAGCACCACATTGCCCATCTTTTAAATACCTCCAGGGATGGGGACTTGACCACTTCCCTGGGCACCCTGTTCCAATGCCTGATAACCCTTTCAGTTAAGAAATTTTTCCTAATGTCCAAACTTTGGTCTCTGGGTGAGATTCTATGTAGACATTCTATCTAGAAGTTAAAGTGAATCTTTATCTAAAGGTACAAAGTGGACAACCGGGTTCTGGAGCAGGGAGTGCTCTTCCAGCCTTCATCTGGGAAAACGAGGGATGAATTTAGGTTATTTCTTGCAGCCTCCAGTGCTGACCATTGTGAATCCCTTCCTCATGCTGGCCCACGCTCGGCTTTGAGGTCCCTCACTCTAGGCTGTGGCCTCCTGGCCACCTCTGGGGCCAGGCATGGCCCCGCACTCCAAGATTTCTATCACCACTTGTGGATCTTGCCCTTAGCTCCTGCCATGGTCCCTCCACATCCCATTTGCAATCCGTGGCTAAAGAGTCATCCCCAGCTTTGTAGCAGAAGAGACTGAAAAGCGCAAGGTCTCAGATCACGCAGCAATAGGAGCTATGTGAACACCTTTTATTGCTTTGTGCCTTTTGAGTAGCAGAGCAGGGACGGAATGGTTGGCTGATTTGAGGTCTGGATTCAGACCACTGCTGTAGAGCTCTTCATAAATGATCTGAAATTTGATTTGGGTAGCGGTTTATATTTTAAAAAAATATATGAAAATTGGGCAGTTTTTTCCTGACATTGAAATTTTTCTTTCAAACCAAATATGTGAAAGTTCTGGCAATGTCTACAGCATCTGGAATCCTTCATTTTATGGTATTTTTTTCTTAACACCCCATACATTTATGAGCTGATCTGGTTTTAGGTAATAAACTAGAAAAGTAGAACTATATAAAATGAATATTGAGGAGCTGAAACATCTGAACAATACAAGTTTAAGCTTTGGCAACTGAAAGTGAGAAGTACCTTTTGAAAAGCTTCTTTCAAATGGTGCGTTTGATTTATATTCAATAGCTCTCTAGGTGTATTAAGAAAAAAATACATCCATTTTTGGCATACGCTAAAGGTTAGTGGCAAATGTAAAAAAAAGAGAGAACAAGGGTATGTGGAGATAAACTCATGTTCATAGGAAGCACTGACATTTAATGGTAATATAATAGTTGCAGTTTTTTTATCTATATAATTTTTAAATGGTGCATGTAAAGTTAGGCATTTTTAATCTGATTTTTATTAACTTTTCCTATTGTAACTTCACAAAAGTTAGTCAATGCCTTCCTAACCTTCAAAAATAAGACTTTGTTAAAAGGTAAAATGAAACTCATATATAAAAGAGGAAGATAATTAATAATGAAAAATTGCAAACAATCAATATTAGTTTGGAAATTAAGCTTATTTTTTATTGCAATTATAAGGGCTGTTTTCCCTTTTTATGTAAAATAACAGCACACAATGTAGCTTTCAGCACCATTTCAACCAGCTCTACCAAGTGAAGGAGAGTTTACCTACAATTCACTGAGAGCAAGAAAGAGAGATTTACTATTAGTTTAAATTTATCCCCAAATGAAAAACTGGTAAAAAAAAAGTTTTATGAAAGCATGTAAGTAAGAGGTTACCACAGGAAGAATGAAAGTAAACTGGATTTTTGGCTCATTAAAGCAGTGTATCAGTTGCAAACATAAGTCTTCTGCTTAAGATACAAGGTTATATATTGCCAGTGCTCCTATAAACTCTTTTCCTGAAATGGTATGAAAAGAAATATACTTTTAAAAAAATTCATTAGGACTGCTTACATTGTATTAAAAAAATTTTAGCCTAAAGTTAAAAAGTTCTAACCAATAGTGGCTGTACACTTAATTTGATAGTTTTGTTTCTTCTGGACAGGGCTTTTAGCCTCTTTTGTTTTTATTCAACCTTTCCCATTGCCATAGCCACAAATACACATATTTTGCTTTCAACATCAAAATCAAAGTTTTCTAAAGTGTCAAAAAATTATACATATAAAAAGAAAAAAAAAGCTAAACTGACAACTCCAAATTTAAATATTTAACCTAAACTGATGCTAAAGATATTTTGTTGATTTCTGACTAGTTTACTTTTACATTTGATGTCTATTTGGCATCCTAAGACTTTTAAAATATGTTTTCTCTGTGAATAGGATATAGAATTTTTTTTTTTTTTTGGTTTTAGCTGCATTTATGAACAGCAAAAGTAAAATTATTTTTAAAAAAATGTGATTTCAGTGCTACAGAATAAATGGCTTTAGGCCTGCAAACTTATATCCAAACTGAAATTTACTCTTTGTAATCAAAGGAGACACTCACAGGATCATAGAATCATAGAATGTTTTGGGTTGGAAGGGACCCCTAGAGGTCATCTAGTCCAACCCCTCACTGGGTTGAATATCAGTTTATGCCTCTGCTGGACCTAAATCCAGATAGCTGTTGGCTGCAAAGGGAGAGCTTGTACAGAATTCCTTTAAACCGGATACAACTGGGGAAAATGTGGAAAGCTGGATACAACTGAAACACGTCTGTCATAGCAGTGAGGCCAAACAAAGTCACAGCAGCAAGGCAGAACACTGGAAGTGAAGCTGTGGTCTCTAACCCACAGATTTTGTAATTGTCTGCATACCAAATTTCCACAGCCCGATTTACCTTGCAGGAATTCAGCACAGCTTGGGGTTCTCATGCTCTTTATCAATTATCTCTCTCTCTCTGAGGAGCCAAACACCCGGTTAGTGCTTGCTGACTTCTGTATTATTGAAGGTGCAGCAATACTGAAGAGAGAGGTAAATTTCCTATGATAGCCTGGTTCAAACCCCATTGAATCAAAGGGGATTTTCTGAAGGAAAAAGGATTTTTGTTGCTATAAGAATCATAATTTTATTCCATGATCCAAACAAGATGAAAAGAGAGAAACTTCCCTTGTTGAATATTACAATTTGTATTTATGGATTAAAAAAAAAAAAAAGAGAAAGAAAGAAATGGAGCAAATTAAGTGCATCTGTGGTAAGATGCTGAGCTTCCTCCAGCGAATAGTGCCATGGTGACTAGGGACAGGAGGTGGTCAGTTCTGCCTTTGGTTAGACCCTGAACCTGTCTCTGCACCAAAGGACTGGAAAAGAAGCATGAAATCCTGGTTGTACTGAACTGCAAAGCAGACTTCTACGTTTTACCATTAATTTCAGAGGAAATAAGGTTTTGTCTCTCTGCCTCTGCCTATGTCTGCACAAACACAAGCTTTTGCCAGCATATGTCCCTTTTCTGAGACAGTACCTCAGTATCCCTATAGACTTAAGCTGTTCCCTGGCATAAGAACAACGGAGGATGCCAACTTGCTTCTGCAGAATTTTTGAGTTCTATTCTGAGAGGAAACAGGACATTGCTTGGCTTCTCTGAAAATTTAACTTATTTAAGTAAAAGAAATGTTGCTGCTTTAGCTGGGAATTTGCAATTGCTCCCATGCATATTAGGAAGATGCCCACTGCCAGGATTGGGATGTCATTTGGTTGTTACAAATGTGGACTTATTTTCCACAAAAAGTCATGCTTTCCAGTTCCAGTTGGAAGTTGTGATATACATTAAAATTATACAGCCACTTGTTGCCAGGTACTGCAAACGCCAGTTCTAGGCTCATTAGACACCTCCTGGCAATTTTCACTTTATAAGCAGAAATTATTCTTCCCTGTTTAACATACTTTTCCTTCAAGACTACATCTCCTGAAGTTTGTTTCCATTTTAGTTGTGTATATTATTCACAGTAAGGCTGTAATGATATTTTATACTCAGCTTCACTTAACTAGATGCAGCATTCAAAAGAAAGAAGCATGCTATACATCAGGAGAAAAAGATTGTCTGCCTCAGAAGGACTCTTCTGTGGTTATGGGCTTTCTAGTCAGGAACTTTATGTCCTGATATAGAAGCATAAGGATGGGTTGTGCTTCTTCATGATTCGCAGCCTGCTGTGTGATTAAAATAGGCTGCTAGGTACAACAGTATCTCCTTTATGCCTTCCCTTCATATAACACAAAATTAATATATGCCCCTCTTTCACATGAAGTGATGCATTCAGGCAGCTTCCACATTCCTTTTGCTTTGTACTGATTATTCCATGAGTTTGTGCAAATTTACTGCTGTGAGAAGCTGCTCCTATCCGTGGCGAGATAAAAAATACAGTCGTGCTAGTAGACCTTACAGGAGCGTTGGGTTATTTTTCATTTGTCTAATAAAGAATTGAACAAAATTATTTATTGTCTAATCCAGCAATGACTTAAGCTAAGAATAAGACTGCATACCTGAGTAGTCCTATGAATTGCTCAGATTTGTTAAAGTACCCTTGCATAAATCTTCATGTGTCTGGGACTTACACATGAATACCTGTCTGGCAATCTCTTGTAATTTGCGTTCTCACTAAACCGAAGAGACGTCTTGCTTGTATTGGTTGTTGTATAACGTTTCATTTGTCCATCTTGTTTTTTAAGGTATCAATACATGTAAACCCACATATTTTGCTGTTTGAAACTGTAAATTGTTTTTGTGTTTCTGATATAGAAGTGGAAATATAGAATTCAAATGGATCAAAATGCTGTGTTCTTTTCTGAAAGCTAATTTCTATTTTTAGTAGATAATCCCTGCCATTTAGAATAAAGCATTTTTATTTTAAATAGTTTTGATGGAAATATTTCAATGCATTTTAAAGGCTACATGACAATAACAAAAGCAGTGGTGGATCACTGGTTAGAAACTTATTAAACAAAAAATTGTCACATAAACTAATTAACCTGCTTTTAAAAATCTGTAATGATTAAAAATTATTACTTAAATTTATTGTGCATAGGTTAGTGCATGTCATTAGAAAAGAGGAAGAATTTTTTTTCTAGTTTTACTTTGATGAGGTACGTGAGTTAATTTTCAGAAGGAAGAGGATTAAGTACAAACCTTTGGTGTCTCCAGCTTCACAGGTCTTAAACACCGTCTGTGAAATTGCTGAGAGGTATTCATGAGACAGAGGCTGCAAGCCACAGGACTCCTCTGGTCGAATTCGAGAGCCACAGTCCTGAATTAAAATGAAATCCATGAAAATGACAGCACTGCACCCATCCATATGACTTTGAAATCCTCTGCAAGGGCTTTTAAAGATGTGAAAAGATTTTTTGAGTTGGTTCTGCAATTCATTCATCCATTGCTCTTCAGTACATATATTTTGTATGGAATTTGAAACCCTTTTTCCATTCAGACAATGGTTTAGTAATAAATTATCTGAATCCACAGTAAATGTACAAGATACTACATTTTCTAAAGATATAAGAAAGTTTATTAAGGCTAACATACATAACATTCATGTAATGTCATGTTGTCTCTACTTATTGTACAGTTTCTACCTATTTGCCCTTAGCAATTTTGTATGCGTATCTGCAGTCATATGGAATATATTTCTGTGACGAAATGCCCCAAATTAGCTTCAGGAGATACAGGTGCATAAAGAAAGAAAAAATCAGGAAAAGTGAAAGAAAAAATAACAATTTCAAGGGGAAAATATTTGAGCTAGTAAAGGAGTTACAAAAACTTATTAGGGGCACTGAAGGAAAGGATTTAATATAAATATAGTCTTTTGACTGGATCTTCATGTGAGATGTATTCCATAGTAAACCTCAGACACTACCATAAGGCTAACATAAATATTTACCTTTAAAGATATTCACTTTTTAATTAATTTTCTCCATAGAAAAGAATCTGACATTTTTTCATGTTCTAGTTAAAGAAGAGTTCACTAAGACCCACAATTAACACAGAAATATTTTATCTATATTTGTGCTCGGATACAGAAATATGCGCTCGTTATTAAATCAACAGAATAGTAGAGAACTAGACCCTGCTAATGCAATGGCATACTCTGAAAACACACTTCATAAACAGCTGAGTTTCTCACTGTTTGATCATTTCTGATACATTTTATAGGCATTAGCCTAGGTGCAAATTAATTAATGCCAGATGCCTAAAAAATTAGCGGTAAGAACCTCCCTCAACTGTAAAAAGGGTTTAGAACACTTCAGAGGCATATATCTACATTAGTTCAGATGAATCTCTCTTCAAATTATTTTGTAAAAATACTGCATTGCCCAAGCTGGTGCTATTGCCAGTTGTTTCATGAGAAGATAGGAGCATTCTGGGGTCTGCGGTAGCTTAAGAAATAGTGTCTACTGTCTCATATTTTATCGTCTCACCCACATTTCTGTATTGTGACAAGCTCACCAGAACATAGTGAGGGTTTTTTTTTTTCACCAAAACCGAGAAGCTATAAAACCAGGACTTAAAATAGAGAAAAAAAGATCATTTTATGACAAAGGAGAAAATGTTACGAAAATTTAACCATGGCAATCATCACTTACTGTGCTTTTATTTTTAAATACTGTATGAAAAGTGCAGTTGTGGCCCTTTCTGACTAAACTGAGTATTAGTCGTGGTAACTTTCCATAATTCAAAATTTGCCATTTTAAAGAACTACATATGCTTAGTACCACTAATTAGTTACAAAAACCCAACACAAATCCAAACAGACTTTTACTGGAGTATGTTTATTTCAAGAAGGAGCATTCTTAAAACCAAAAATAATAATAAAATGCAATTTCTCTAAAGAGGAAAAAATATTTCATTGGCCATTTCTTCAGTGAAGTAGGCTGATTTCTATTTTTATTTTCTGAATGATATTAAAATTAATTTGGTAACATTTGTCTAATACCATTCGCTGTTTCCATGAAATTATGCTACATCTAGGATGCTATACCTAAAGTGGACCAATGAACAAATTAAAATTATGTCCTAATACTGCCAGGGTGAAATGTGACAGTTAGTAGGATTTGTGTCACTGATATAGGTGGAGACATGAATCCATCCTGGAATTTAGTAAATACCAGTGGGTCTTGATTATGCAATCAAACCCCAAAGTGAAATAGTTGTCTCACAATTATTCTGATCTTATTAAATTCCATGAAGGGGGAGAATCTGTCACCTGACTTCAAAGGGTTAAGGACATTTTGTGCACAAAAAGTCAGAGAAATGGTAGATCTGTGTGGCTGGTTCTGTAAAGTTGTCCCGTTCTACACTTGACACTCTATAACTAGGGAAAACTGTTAAGACAAAATGAATGGCATGGTATCTTCTAGTGTTAAACTGTGATCTTGTCTTGGAGCCTCTGGGTCTGGACACACGGTACAGCTATTTGACAGTACTACTTCAACTAACATTAACATCAGAAAGCTCCTACCTTGCAGTAAAACAATTTGCACAGGACTTCACAAGAGAGCCCGAAATTCCTGAACGTGCTGTCATTGCTCTCGACATAGTGCCATAAAATAACTTAACAGGGATTTTCTTGTTCATACTTCTGCCCAGGTTATGTGTTTAAACAAACAAAAATGGATTTTAATTGCATTCCTTGGACAATATCATTAGCAACTATTTCATGTGGCTGGTTTATTACTAATCACAATCAATGCGCAGGTCAAACTATGTCACCAATTCCCTTTGACTTCATTGTGTTTTCAAAGTATGCAAACCATCAATTTTAAAGGACGCTGCTTGTGTTTAATATGTAATTCACATCTAAAAATATAGAGTTGTGATATATTGTGAATCACTGAATGAGCCTCATTTGTTTCATCTGTACTTTTGTGGGAGACCAATCTTTTTTCATCGCTGACATATTTAATATAAAGTGCAAAATGAATCTGCGGCAGCCGCAGATTTACCACAGCTCCACCAATGCATGGCACATTAAGGACTTTTCCAGCCGTCTGCAGATTTTTTTTAGGTTTTCTTCAGGTGCTGCAGTGACATGACATCCCCTGTGCCTTGCCCAAAGATGAAACATCTGGTGATCCTAAGTATGTTTACAAAAGATCACTCAAGGCAAAGACGAGAGCCAGACATGTAAACTTAAATGATAGCTCTTTCTCTGTGTCTGTTCTCCCTGCAAACCTTCATTTTTAGAAGGCAGACATAAAAAGGCCCTTCAAATGTCTGGACTAGAATCAAAAGAAAAAATTCCCCAGTGTTATGTACTTCAGTGCACAGTTAGAAGCGACTCTTTATAAGACAGGTTTGGCATTTTACTAGTAAACTTTCTTTTATCTTTACAGAAGATTTTCTGGACCCTAGCAAAGAAGAGGAATAAAGCTTTCCTGTGCACATCTAGATAGCTTTCAGTCAACAGCAGTTGGTAGATACTCAGACAGTGAACGGTTCTGGAGTCCATCTGCTGTGTGAAAAAAGAATTGTTCCTGCCCAGAACACACTACAGTGAACTTGCTTCTTCATCAAGGGAATAAGTTTTAGCCTTTATGAAGCAATCACACAGATTTTTGAGCCTGCTACTCTAGAGTTGTCTCAAATTATTAATTTGGATCTATTAATGCATATGTTATTTATTTATAGTCTAGGTGCCTGACTTAGCTCAGCTTTCAATAACCAGACTGTATTTTGTCTCTATTACATATGCACATGCATATATATACATAGTTTACACACAGGTTTACACAAATATTAACAAACCCTACCAGTTTTAAAATCATATAGATGTGTGTGGTTGAGAGAGAGAGAACCAAAGCATTATAAAGATGATCCACAGTCATGCAGCTAATATCATGGAATTAATGTCATATAGATAATACCATTGGAGTTGTAATTATGCTCTAGGTTACGAGATCTAACTTAACTACGAATGGATTTTTACTTGCTGTTGTACCTTTTTACCACCTCTGCCCAACCGAAAGAATGATTACCCTGAAACGGCAATAATTGCCTACAGATTAGCCCCATAAATTTCCACCAAACTGGAAGCAGCTAAAAGGAGAGAAGGTAAGAAGCCCACGACTTTCCTGGGAAAATTCACATTGAATAGGGACAAACTGTCCCTCAGTGTTCATTCAAATGGTCAGTGCTCCAGCAGTGACAGAGCACCAGACAACAAAACTAAAGTTACTTTTAGCATCTACAGCTATTGCTACCTGTCAGCTCAAAAAGGCATTTTAAAACAGAAAGGTAGGATTTTTACAACTTTTCTGGAATAACCCAACTCTGTCCATTCAGAGCTGTTGCTGACACTATCGTTTGCAGTGGAAGTAGACTGATGTTAATGAATTGAATGCTTTGGAAACTTCCACCCAGGATGCCTGTATCTAGGCTCCACACTCAGCTTTCTCAGTAAACGTCCTTCTTGCATTTGTATGAAAACCCCTATGATCAACAGGAAAGGTGGGTTCAACACTTAGAAAACCAGCTCATTTCTGCTTAGGTACTCATGTCTGAAATTGCACCCAGCCCAAGCCACTGAAGGCTCCCCCTACCAGACTAATAAAGGATCAGCATATCAGCATGTTTTAAACTCAATAACAACAGAAAGATATCTAAGATCATGGGAATTTATTTTAGCATTGCATACAACCAACATGTAGCCAAAATCCTGCATCTTTTTAACATCCAGAGCCTACACGTGTCTGGGAACTAGAGGATGAGATAAATCTAATTCTTGGCAAAGAAGGGAGAAGACCTCTCCACCCATTGAGCTCTGACCCTGCAGTCCTTTGGGCAGCGTTGCCCATCAGCCTGGCAGGGCACCCAGCCACCTCCCCAAAGGCACCGCAGCCCTGCCTTATCGTAGGATGCTGCCGGGGCTGCCTTATTTCTTTTGTCTGTTTGCATTTTAGACGTGACAGAACAAAGCTTCCCGTGAAAGAGGTAATTTTGAACGCTTTTCTGTTGGCCTTTGTAGGCTTGCTGACTTAACTTTATTTGATCTGGTTCTATTTAAGCTGGCATGAGTTTCTCATGAAATCCTTTCATGTCTCTTTAGTCCATCTTTTTCTACTATTTTTCACATAACTAAAACTGGATGAAAAGTGATTAAAAATGATGCTATGGAAGGAATTCTAATAAAATTAGTCAAAGAGTGAGCTCATGAAATAGTGAAATTGTATCTTATTGCTAGGGAATTAATTGTGAGCAGATGGATTAGTTCCACTCTATCAACTTTATTAATATGGCAGTAATAAATGAAGG